AGCACCTGGAACTGCAGAGCCCGCCACCCTGCAACCATGCTGAGCCTAAGCTTCTAAGCTTACCCTAACCCCCCAGGTACCTACTATATGGGGTACTAGAGCCCCAAGGGCCCTATATAGTAGGTACCTCGGGGGTTAGGGTTATGCACGAAACTTGGCCCGAAACCTCAGGTTTAGGACTCTCTTCTTGCTGTGGCTTGCGATGCGGGAGCCCGAACCCCTGAACCGCTAATCCTAAACCCAGACGTGCCCTTATCCCTAAACTGCTCGTGCGAGTGTCAAATCCAAACTAACCCTCCAAACCCTTCAGCGCAAAGCCTTTGTGCAGGAGGCCGCAAAATCCGAGAGGCTTTGGCTGCGAGTTGTTTGTTTTGTTTTGCTTCGGTGGCATGGTTTGGGGCTTGGGCTACTGAAGTTTAGGGCTTGGCGAGGCTTTGGCTCTCGACTGAAGGCGGTGAGAGCCTGGGTGCCACAGCATTAGCATGGAAATGACAGCTGCTTTGTTGGAGTACTACCGTACTGTATCCGTGTATCCGTAGATGTTCGGAGCTTCATGGTACTGTATCGGTAGATGTTCGGTTTTTCATGTGCTAGAGCGTGAAATCTTATATCGCTGAGCCCCAAAGCTCCGAGCGCCTTTGAAAGCCAAACCCTGTGCACTTTTCAATCAGCTTATAGAGCTTAGGGTCCAAGCGAATGGCTGCATGCCAGGGCCGCCAGCAAAGGTGGCAAAGGTGCCAGCGCCTATGAACCGCGGCTCTTGCCTGCTGGAAAACTATAGGGCTGCAATAACTTAGGGCTCGAGGTCTAGCATGCCTTTGCTGGATGATCACGTGTCTTACGCACTCAGTACGTTCCGAGTTCTGAAAGTCCTGAGGCTCTATGTCTCTATGACGGCCCTAAATCAGAAGCCTGCAATTCAGAAAGCATCATGTCGGAGCGAAAGCACCGGAGTTCTATCACGCCGCCGCTGCAGCTCCTCCGAAAGTGGCCCACCGATCACCAGAAGTGCACTTGACAGGCTCAGACCTTATTTTAGGGTTTAGGGTTTAATTAGGGTTTAGGGTTTAGGGTTGAGGTTTACATACATTGCCTTGGCGCGATCTGGGTGATTGGAAGAGTACCCACGCTATGCACAACATATATTCTCTCCGTGGTTGCAGCGAGCCATCGTCAGGTGCAGAGGGGTTGGTGGGCCTTAGGTCTCGAGAGGGGTTGCCTTTTCTTTTCTCAAAGTTTATTTGCGGCTTTCTGAGTCGACTGGCATGTCGACTCTTTCCCTCTCGGTGCTGACTCCACGCAGCTCAGTCGAGCCATCGACTGCTCATGGATGGACGGACTCCGAAGATGATCAGGAGCTCAGGGTGTCTTATGTGAAGTCCTCCCGATGTGGGCCCGAGGCTTTGAAGCTCAAATGTCTAATTCCGCTGACCTACCTGAGGCCACCTAACAAAAAAACGGATCATTCCAAGGAGAAGGCCGGAACTGTCCGTAGCAGTGACGGAAGAAACCTACAACTATACAGCATTTCGGAGAAGGCGAAGATTCTGATATTTGCCAGAAGCCCTGAAACCCCACAGCTCTAAGCCCTTCAAGCACAATCTCTAAACCCTAAAGAAACATGCGAGTGAAAGAGTCGAAACAACACATCCTCAGCACCCCTGAACCCTAAACCCTAAACTCTAAACCGATGGGAAAAAAACTCTAAACCCAAAGCCTTAAAACCCCAAACTCCAAACCCAAGACCTTATTGAACCCTAAACCTTAAACCCTAAACCCTAAACCCCCCAAAAAACCCTAGACCCCTAACCTGAGGAGCTCGAGGTCGTGATCACCTGCGGCTCCTCATCTCTCGATTCGGACACAGATTCCACCCAGACGACGGCACTCTCCTTCGAGCCCTTTGAGTCCCAGACTTCTGAGAAGAGGCAGCCTCGTGGTTGCGGCGAAGGTTTTGTGGGGTTTGGGGCTTTAGGGTTCAGGGATTTTGGAGGAATTCCTTGAAGGGTTCTGCCGGGACTTCTGAAAGGGTTCTATAAGAGTCCTGGGTTTGGGTTTCAGGGTTCAGGGATTTCGGGTTCAGGCTTTCGAGGTGGGCAGCAGAGGATTTCGGTTTACAGCTGTAGAAATTTAGGGCCATAACCATATGCTGCAGGGTATAGGGCTCAGTTCGGTCCATGGTCTAGGGGCTTTGGGTTTTTCACGGTTTAGGGTTTGTTGAGTAACCTTGCATCAGCCACCAGTGAGACTGGAATCCCCCACGCATCAGTCCGAATCCAGACTTTCGCTTTGCTCCAGTCTGCGGCCCTATAGGCAGCGTCGGGTGTACAGAGGGCTTTACCATGGAGGGAGTAGCATTTCTGATCTAACGTAAGGCTTCTGCTCATGTAGCATACAGATACCCCCCCAAAAAAATCCTGTTCTACCCAAAACCCTAAACCCTAAACCCTAAACCGTTATGATTCACAGGTTTTGCTGCAAGCTCCTTGTGCCCTCGCACTACGCCGGCCCCATCCTGGGTCGCGGTGGGCGGAACCTGCTGTCCGTGGAGACTCTCGTCTTCCGGGTGGAGTTTAGGGTTTAGGGTTTAGGGTTTAGGGGTTTAGGGTGAGGGGGGTTGAGGGGCTCGGCTTAGGGTGCGGCCCCGTTTAGGATTCTCAGGCGGGGTGTTGAAGCTGTTTAGGGTTTAGGGGCCTTGCAGCAACCTCTCAAGAACCGACGCCCTGTGCAAGCACGGGCCCAGGAAGCACACCAACACCAGCGATCACATTTCTCCGGCTGGCATCTTCTTCCCGGGCACAGAGGCTGGCCTTCCGCGGCTCTAGGCTTCAGTTTCGATTGCCCAGCTCCGTCTGTTGAAGCAGTAGTCATTGGCCGTGTCCGAAAGGCAAAGTTATACAGTTATACACTTGTCATGTGCACCTCTCCCTCATCCTTCACGATACCTTCATGTGTACACTTCCCTCCGGCTCTGGCAATGCTTTGAAAGTTACAAAGCAGAGCACGGAAAGTGAGCCAAATTCAGCAGGATCGGATGCTTATGATTTTTGCGGAGACCCTGGCAAGCTTGGTCACCTGCATGGAGATGGTTGTGAGCCTTGGCCAGACTTACCGACATTTCGCCGCTACGTTGTGCATGATGCCGACAACAAGAGCATTACGACCCCAACAGCAACAACGACAAAGCAGCAGCAGCAGCAGCAGCAGCAGCAGCAGCAGCAGCAGCAGCAGCAGCAGCAGCAGCAGCAGCAGCAGCAAACGAACGAACGAACGAACGAACGAACGAACGAACGAACGAACGAAGGAAGGAAGGAAGGAAGGAAGGAAGGAAGGAAGGAAGGAACGAAGGAACGAAGGAACGAAGGAACGAAGGAAAGAAGGAAGAGCGAGAGAGAGAAAAATAACAGCGCAACCCAGGGCCTTATCGTGTAGCCGACGCAACAGACCAGACATCCAGGGCGCCTGCACGCACGCAGGGGGAGGGGAGAACTCCTGTAAGAAGAGAGAGAAAAGAGAGACCCCAACAGGCTAGGCGAAAAAAGGAGGACCCAACAATGACAACCCCTCAAAAATCGAGAGTCGGAGCGCCTTGTTTGTGAAGGGTTTTGACCGGACCTTTACGCCTAGAGTCCCCAGACTTTAGACAATAGACCGCGAGAATGGCTGGGCCTACTCAGTCCAGGTCCTTGTACGATATGAAAGGCCAAGCCCTCTCACTTAGAAAGTTCTCCCAGCGAGTCCCTTCGGGATGTGAATGCGGGTATTCTGTTCGCGGTGGGCTTGTGTGTTGGGTTGCGTCACAACCCTCTCGTATCCGCTTTGGTTGTTTCCCGGACGAACCGAACACAGGCAACTGAAAGAAAGGAAGGAAGGAAGGAAGGAAGGAAGGAAGGATGGATGGATGGAAGGAAGGAAGGAAGGAGAACATGCGCTGACGACGATCGGACTCTTGCCCCCGGGACAGAAAGAAAGAACGAAAGAGAGCGCAGTCGCTTATGCCTGCAGCAAGCAGATGGGGAAAATGTCGGAGAGTGACAGGCAGCTGCCCGTGCCCTCGCGAACCAGGGCAAAGTCTCCAACCACCAGAGGACGTTGGTGTGTTTCAGCTTGTTGTCTGTGAGCTGTGAGGGGTTCTGGGGCACTGCAAGACAAACTTGTTCTTCCTCGCCAAGTGCCGTGACTTGAACGCAGGAGATGCTGGCCGAGGCAAACTGTATCTGCAGGCAGGGCAAAATCCTGTTTGGACAGGTCTGCCAGCAAGGTCAAAACTCAAGCCTTCCCGCGGCTGAGGTCCTTTAATACTTGCCAGCATGGCAAGCATCGTAGCATGGATCGTGAGCCTCGACCTCAACAGACAGCAAGTTCGGCGGCTTCATCCACCAAGTTGTTTCTTTACATGATTTGAGGCTCGCCGAACCGGCTCACGTCACAGACATTTTATATATTTGCACAGTATGCACCACCGACACAGAAAGAGTCGCGCTGTTGTAGCCGCTTGCCTTTCCACATCCAACCTGAGACGTCTCAAATGTCGGCGCTGCGGCCTCCTGCAGTCGGCAACAGGACGATGATACAATCCAGTGCAGCGACATTTCCATGCCTCCATAGGCGCGGATTTGGTCTACTCGGGACTGTGTAAACCACCAGGCCAGCTCCGTCGGGATACTACTATGCGGCGCCGTTGGCTGCTCCTGCAGCACCTCGAGTCGTGTTGAGCGCTTCTCAGCCTATGCACAGCCGCGGCCCCGGTTCTTGGCGAGTCTTGGGCCAACGCCGCTAGCATTGTCGCATTGGCAGGCTTAGCAGGCATTGCCCCAGCCTTGGCTGCAGCGCGCCCAGCATCAAGAGAGTTACAGAGCACCTCACGGCCGCAACAGACATTGGGAGAATCGAGGCAGTGCCGCCCATCGTGAGAACCATAAGGCCTGCTGTGAGCCGGTTTCACTATTTCAATAGTTCTGTTTCGCTTCTCCGGCATCCCTGAGACTTCAGACTTCAGGATGCCGGCTACAAGCACGGCCCCCGTCACAGTCACTCACTGTGCCACGGCCTGGCGCCACTTGGACGCTCAGAAGTTGATGTGTCCGAGTCCGACCGATGTGCAGTTTTGGCAACGTGGCAACGCATCGCACCATCGAGGTGATGACGGCTCCAACGCTGTCAAAAACTTGACCGATGGAGCCTTCACGATCACTGGCAAGCCTTCCAAAGGTTCACCTGTCAATGCTCTTGGCACGATTCCGCTTACTTCTGGGCAATACTTCGAGGTGACATGCCAGGACTGATTGGGCTTCGTGTGGGTGTGTATGTCTTGCGGGAACTGCTAGATTCTGGATCTATAGACGGTGCTGTGCATAAATCAAGCGTCAAACAGTGGATGCCTCGGAGGACGGTGATGGACCATTCATTGGAGTTGGGAAGCTGGAGAACTTCGCACAAGGATACAAGTGTAAGGGTCTCCTGTTTGGTGGCCCGGGCAATTTGTCCAACGGCTCTGCGCTCATGAAGGGGGAGTTTGGAGAGCAGGTCTCGAAGGGCTCGGTCGTTGGCATCCTCTTCGAGATGACTTCAGACCTTGTGACCCTGACCGTGTACCAAGACGGGCGATGCCTGGGGCCGGCTTTTACAGCAAAGCGACAGGAGAAGGCCCAGCTCTTTCCGCTGGTTCAGGCGAAGAGCGATGGCGACACCTTCCGGATTGCCTTCAAGGCCCCGCCGGCAGTCCGCAGCAGAGAAGCTGGCTGCCAGGAGGGATTCGGGGGCAGTTGGGCCATCGAGAAGATGATGGTTGGTCCCGAACTCGGCGAGTACCCGCTTTTCACAAAGATGAACGAGAAGCCAGTCGTATTAAAAGTTACCATGGGCCCAAGCGGCTCTGTTCGGATGGGCGCCAAAGTTGTGAACGTGCTCAATTTTTCCGCATCCTCGGGTGCCGATGCCAGCTTGGCTCCCTTTGATGCCTTGACAGTGAATCCTGGCATCTCAACGATGATGGCAGGCCCGGAGCCTATGATGGACGCCGAGTCGAAGCTTTCAAACGGACTTCAGGGTGCCCGCAAGTGGATCGTTTCTAATGGCAAGCTGCTGATCAATGGACCAACCTTTGAGATCTCCTGCGCTCGCCACATTGAGTCGTTCGAACCTGTGGATACGGAGATCTGACGAGACGCTGCAATTCCACGGGAAAGGTCGAACACGCATCGTTTAAAAAGCGTCGTGCCGCAGGTCCTTGTCTAACCAGCATGTGGACTCGTTTGGCTGTGGCTCGCTTTGGAGCATCCTGCCTTCACGAGGCCCAGGGATTTGCCAATCTGCGGCTCGCAGCTCAGACCGCCTTTCCTGTCGAGCAGAGGGCTGGTTCGTGCAGCCAGCAAAGCCCACATGTAAGAAATGCAGGAAATGTGCAGCCAGGCCCACAGCCCTCAGCGACATCTGACCCTCCAGCAGATTGCCGGCAGGGAGATCAGGAATGGGAACCTGCGTCAGGCGAATCTTCTCATGTGGCGTACCTGGGACAACTTAGCTGAATGCAGACGGGTTTGTCGAAATTTCGCTCATTCCAGGCGACCTGGCTTCTGAACACTTGTCAGAAAAGCCAACAGGCCACACTTCGCCTCACTCTTCTTTTCACGAGCCTCATGTGGTTGACAAAGGCAGCCGATCCCGAAGTTTACAGCCAGATCATCACGGCTTTTGCTGCACGTCGACTGATGAGGGAGGCAGCAGTTTTGTCAGCAGAGCTTGGCATCTGATGGAAAGTGTTCCAGGCGGTGAGCTGGATGAACGCGGAAACAAGCTCAGGGATTGCTCGCCGTGCTGTGGAAAGTGTGCGCAAAGGCTGCTTCCATCCGCAAGCCCAAGGCACTGGCAATGGACCTGGAGCTGGATGCTGCCGCTTTTGCTGCTGCCCCGCACTGAGAGAGCAGGGCTACACAAGCTTTTGCGCTGACCAACCGCGTCTCATTAGGGCGTTGGAGCACACATCTGAAGAGCCATTCCTCTCTCGGTTTAATGCCCTTACATGCTTTACATGCTATCTCGTCAGTTGGTACAGCACGCAGTGTTGTCCTTCCGAGCGCGACGACATGCCTCCCAGATCTCGAGCCCCGCGCACTACCTTCGGCTAAATCCAAAATTCGTCTAGGGGCACTTGATAGAACCGGGTGGAACCCACAGACAAGCCCAATCTGTTTCCGTTTGCATAGCTCACTCATACTGTCGGGCATGCATGCTCGTGACCAACAATTTTTGCAAGCGATGCGGCGAGCACAAGGACAACTTGATCCTATTTGACCAAGGTAGATCTTCATCAGAGCAAGAAAGATGCCAGCTCCTTGGTCATGCCACCTCTTGACATTTGTTCGTCAGTGGAATCTCCTGGCATGCAGGTCGGTCCACGGGAGGAGTTGGACGAAGAAGGCCAGCAAATCTTTCGTTGGGAGAACGTTAGGCAGGTGGCACTGAAGGCTGTCTAATATTGTCTAATTGTCTGCGCCTGTTCTGGTTCTAGGCCACAAAAAGTGGTGGAGAACGGTCCGTTCCCAATTTTGGCTGATCGCCATGACTTTGTCCTGCGTTTCGAGTGGCTTGTCTGTTGGCGTGCCAGCAAAGGTCTCACGAATGAGGGAGGGTGGTCTTTTGGAAGGCCCGATCATCAGCACTCGGATGGAGAGTTTCAGGTGAGTTTGAGGTCAGTTTGAGGTATTGGAACGCAGCAAAGGAAGACAAGGGTTCTACCTTGAGACTTTCAATTTGCTGAACAACAGACGTGTGTTCTCTCCCAAAGCTTTCGGGCATGGCTTCTGCGTAGAGGCACTGTGGGCCGAGATGCGCTGCGCTATCTCCAGAAAGCTGGTAACTTATCCCGTTGCATAGGCTCAACTCGATTTTGGATTGGGCTGAAGCTCTGTCTTTCGGCCACATCATATGGTTGCGATATATTTCTGCTTCTAGCTGAATCCTGTGCCTTCAAGGCTTGCCAATCTCGGCTAAAAGTTCAGGCCACTGTGTTCCAGGAGCAGAAGGGTTCACTCGAGTCTTTGTGCAGCTGGGATGTCTGGGCCGATGAAGATCAGCTGCCCCGGTAGTAGCCTGCTGAAGCCAGGTTTCATGTCGTTTGAGCTTTCGAGAGGGGCTTTGTGCAGGATGCCATCCGTGGCTTCAGAGACGTTGCATCCTCAGCCGGTGCAATCATGCTGTTGCTCGCGGGACCACTTGAAGCACAGGATCCAGATTCTGCGGCCGAGTGCCTTCAATGTGCAAGCAAGCTGCGTCTGGAGCAGGAGGCGAGACGCAGCGACGCCGAGCTAGCTACAGCTGCCTTGCTTGGGTTTGTCTTGCGAGGCCTCCACCTTCCATTCCGTAATCATGAAATGCTGCGCGCAGCTCAGCATGCTCAGCTTCGGAAGCGGTCGCACCTGCTGCACCTCCGGACTTGACCTGTCACAGCAGAGTTTGCTTAGGCATGCATGGCCTGCTAGACAAAGCATCGGCACTTGTGGATACCATGGCACCGCACTCAGCTGTCAACGTCCGAGCGGCCGTCAGAGTCTCATGAAGAATATGTCAGGCCGAGAGCGGATGGCAGCCTGCATCTGACACCTGGCGATCATGTTGTGCTTATGCAAAGGAGAACTGCTCACAAGTTTGGTGACTGAGGACATCTACCGTGCCTTGTGCCACGGTCAGGCATGGAGTTGCAACTTTCCGGGCTACCGCTGCTTGATATCGAGGTGGGTAGACACGGCAGGCATTGAGGCACAACGAGACCGGCGTGGAATTCTGGCTTTCCAAGCTGGAGGCCAACCAAGACCGGCCATTTCAAGTGCATGTGGCAAGTACGAGGTGGCGGCTCACGCGGTCTTTTGGTTCCTGGTAACAAAAAGGCAAGCATGTGCAAACAGCAAATGTGACGGAGTACGAACAGGATACCGAGATGGAGCTGGCCCCGTTTCGCTTGATGCAACGGGCCCGGTGCTGCTGAGCACATATGTGTCCGAGTTCGAGCACCGGAAGCCGTGAAGGTCGTATCATCGAGCAGCAAAAGGCAAGGCGGAGTCATCCGAGGCACGAGTAGCGAGCAAGTGTTTCTTTTCTGCCGCTCGTTTTTGCTGTTTGGAACGCCAGTGGACACCCCTTCGTGTCCAGTATTTCCTGCTTCCCCTGGCAGGCTTGGCTGGAGCGTGCACATGAGGCGGCACTACATCCTGATGTTGCCTGTTACAACGAGGCCAGTGCCGGCTTTTTTTGTCATGGCCACTGAGTGCATGGATAGCCCTGTGCGTGATGCCTTCCATTCCAGGTCCTGGCAGCCTTCTCGCGGCCCAATAAGGCCTCTTCATGCTCGTGCAGCAGAGGGACAGGCATTACCGTCGCAAGTGACAAGCTACTTCAGGTGCGTAGCCGGCAGACCACACCACGTCAGGGCATGTGTAGTCAGAGATCTGGCTTCTTTCTCTCGTGTCTGTCCTCGTGTTGTTGTCCTTTCGTCTTCGATGCTTAGTTGCCCATGACGTGGGTTGACCTTGTTGCACCATGGACAGCTTGATCGGGGAGAATTCTGACATGTGTCGACCCATTGGCTAGGTCCTGGTAGCAGCTTTGACAGCTGGTCTTGTTCTTGTTCGTTTTGTCGATTGTTCGGCCACGCCGGGGAGCAGGTTCTGAGTGACGCATCGTCTTACTTTGCCAAGTTGGCCTTTGCGCTCTGGTTGTGATTGCTGTTGCTGTTGCGCTTGCTGTTCAGGGCTGTGCAACCGAATGGGCTCTGCCTGCCAAGCGGGCGCATGGAGCGTGGAGGTGCGCATATGCTGCCCGGATGATGGCACAATTTAGGTAGAAGCGTCTTCAGCCAGAATGTGCGTCTCTTCGCAGGTGCTTTCAGCAAATGCGTCAAAAGGTACGCTTCTGGCCACATCCGAAGTGGTTGTAGGTCGAGTACACGTCCATTTTCCGAGAGGCTGTCGAGCCGGATGCTGGATCCCACAGGACGGCTGGTCGCCGCACGTGTAGGCCGCAGACAGACTACCGGACAGGTCGGTACTGCGCGGCTTTGCCCGGTCTGGCCTTACGAGGCTCGCATGCTTGCATAATCATGCTTCCGGCTCGTGCGTTCGATGGCCCGTGCTTTCGTGTGGCGGTGAGGCGTAGCGTGGAATGGATGCAGCAGATGCTGGTGGTGAATGTGGCCGTCGATGAGACATGTTGCTCGCCCCTGCAAGGTACTCGTAGGATTAACCAGAAGCTGCCGTGCTTGACCGCGCAGAGCATCATACGCGCTGTTATGACCACGAACTGAGGCTAAACATAGGCAACCTTACAGACACTGCGGTGCTGCAACCGAGGCTACAATTCGCTGCTTTGTGGTGCTGCCATGCTTTCTATCGGAATATCCGAATTACAGACATGATATTCTCCCAGGCCCAGGACTCTTGAAATTCCCAGGGTAGAAGAGATGTGCTTGCTGTGTTTGATTGCCTGCTATCCTATGGTGTAGACAGGGGAACGTTCGAGAGATGTGCCAACTGCCCTTCCTGCAGCCGTTTGAGACATGAAAGTTATCCCAAAGCGCGTCTCCCCTTGTCCTCGGATGCCTCGTACTAAGAGACTTGCGTAAGAACACATACGTGGGACTTGCGAAACCGAGAAACTGTAGATGATCCCTTCCTGTTAGGCTCAGGCATCATGCAAGGATGGCCCGGCGGCCAGCAGCTTTCCGGCTGCTTGCGCGGCGCACAGGTGGCCGGGAAGACAACAGAGCGGTGACAATTCTCTTCCTGCAGATGCGTGCAGCAATGGCTTGCAACAGGTTTCCAACATGCCGTTTGCCTTCCAGGCCGTACAGCTTGGCCTTTCGTTTTCGTCTGGGTTTGATCTTGGCATTTTCAAGCTCCGATTTGTTTAAGGAGTGCGAACAAGGGTTGCAAAGTTTTCGAATCCCTTCGTGTTACATGCTTTCGGGGATTGGACTGACATGGAAGCATGCACAGCGTGGCGTGCTCGTGAGACTAGAGTCGAATCTTCAGCTTCGTGAGGCCATGTCCGCAGACACAGAGGACTTGTCCCGATTTCCGTGAGCAGCACTCGCAGGTCAATGACACTTGGCTACACAGTGCTGTATCGGCGAAACTGCAGGAGCAAGAGCCTTCCTCAAAACGCCAGAGGTCACAGGCCAGAGGATGCAGATGAAGCTGCCTTGTGCTAGGGAGTGTTCGAGACCTGGTCCTTGCAAGTTGGATGCCAGGACGGCTCGGAGGGCTTTCCTTGTCTGGGAGGCTGGCCAGGCCTGGATCAGAGCAGGGCCTGCCTTTGTCGCTGTGCATCACTTTACCTGACAGCGTCAGACAGTGTCAGGTAGTTTCGGCGACGGCTGTGGTGGCTCGCAGACGTCTCAGAAGCAACGCTGCTCCAGCAGATCCTGTCGGGCATGAGAATTGGTGCGCGGCGTCAACGTCTGGCGCGCAGGTGTGGTAGCGGTTATGGCGGTGCCAGCAGCAGCGGCTCAGGCATCAGAGCTCCGAGAACCCAAGCTGCCTGTGCAGAAGAGCGGCAGCAGTCTGTTTTTCAGGCGCTGGTGCTTTGGACCCCATGGCAGGCTGTGGCCGTGAGGATGTCATTCTAAGATTTTGCCCCAAGCTGTTCTTTCTTCTCTGTTGCGAGGCTGCGCAGGATGCTCTGGTCTCGGCTGGGGCTCTGGCCCGAGAATCGATGTCAGCAAGGGTCGTAACCATCCCCAAATGGGGAAGCTAGCAGGAAGACAAGGCAGCTCGCAGAGATCAGATTCCTGAATGCAGTGTCGAGTAAGGTGCCTGCGGTGGCATGAACCCAATACAACTGGACGCTTGACCGCACGAAGTCCTACAGCTCTTACAGCTCCCTGCGACGAATCGCAGCCACTGCAAGGCCCAGATGCAGCAGATGGCCCAGGCCATGGCAGCCTTTGCCTCGAATGCCAAGGATGCTTGTAAGAAAGGAAGCTCTCAAAGTTACATAATCTGATCCGTTATTGCTGGAAGGAGGATTTTGTCCCTGAGAATCCAAACGTGGAGGAGAGGTACTATGGCCACTAGGATGCAAGGAATAGGTCACACTGTTCAATGTGGCAAGATCACCGCAAGAACGGTAGCGAGTCGAAACAAGGCGTTATTCGTGATTACAACGAGAGCCAAGTCACAGCCTCGAGCCAGTTCAGTGGCCGTCGCAATGTGCCATTGCAGCACTTTGGAACACTGAGGGCTTCGGTTTCATAGAATGCGAAGACGCAAAGTGGAGATACGGGATGGACGTGTTCATTCACAGGCCAGCCCGTATCAACGTGGCACCATATGCTTTTGCGCAGCAAGTACTCAGGGGTCTGCTGTTCTCCGAAAAGGCGTCAGATGTTTGGCTTGGCCAAGGGGGACGAGGTTGGCTTTGCCGTTTTTTTTATGCGAGGACATTCCTTCTGACACCTGTTGCAGGTTAGTTTCGTGATTGTGCGAAACTCCCAAGGCTGGGCGGGCTGTTTGTGGCTGGATTTACATTCAAAGCTGTTGTTTCGTTTGGAGAACGGCAAGAAGTGCAGTTGCAGGTCAGCCTCAAGCTAGGCATGTCATCAAGAAGGAGGCATGCTGACGATTCGCTTTGCTCAGGGTCCGGTGAACTTCGGAGAGATTCCGCTATAAGCCTGACAGAGACAAACCAGATGTCACCGGTCCATGTAAGGAGTGAGTTCAGCATCTGCCGCCCTGGCAAGGAGACGGCCCGAATACTGGAAAAGCGTAAGGATCGGGAGAAACGAGAGGCCAACCTGAATTGGCTGACCATTTACTTCATCCAGTTCATCCTTCGTGATCCGCGGAGACATCGCTTCGAAGGCCGAAAAACTACAAGCAAAGAAGCAGGCCGACGGGACTCTTCGTTCTTCGGGGCAGTGGATGCTGACAGCCTTCAAGAGGGACCTGCTGTCTTTCTAGACAAGAGTCTGGCGGAGTCTAGAGGAATGTCTTGTGCTCATGGACAGGCCTCGGAAAAAGTTTGGGGCTCATACCGGATCCACCGGATCCCTTCCATCCGGCGGTGCGAGCGTCTGCGTGAGTCCACGCGGCTCTGTGCTGTTCGTCTGCCTAGGTTTTCACTCCCAGCACAATGGAGGGCAAGGTCATGTCTGAGGAGGAGGCAAGAAGATTCCAAAAGTCCTTGAAACGAGGCAGATGACAGCCGCTTGCCTGCAGCTTCATTGACAGCAGCTGTGTGAAACAGTGCTGCGTTTGACTGGAGAGATCTCCTGTGAGTATGAGGCCAATGAATCTCCGGCCTCATGATCGCACAAAGACGTGCGGAGTGTGAGACCACTCGGGACCGCTGAATGAAAAAGGAGGAGCAAGCTGTGCACGAGTCATGCATGTAGCGAGCCTTTCTTGCGGCAGCTTCATTTGCAAGCTACTGGCGCCAGGTGGCCTTGCGCGGGCCAGAGAGGCTGCACTCGCATCGACGTGGCTCCAGAGGTGGGCTGTGGGGTCAAGCATTTCAGAACGACAAGAACAAGAAGCATCATTTCGCCTCCGCTGCATGGCTTCAGGATGGTGGTAGACAAGCTGGAAGCAGATGAGGCTCAGCCCTGTGTGTCGAGTCTCCTAATCTGCGACTAGCTGCTGGCTCTGCTGCTGCTAGTCGAAGAGTTGGCCGGATAGGTTCGTAGACAATGAATGTGAGGAGTAATTAGCCGGCATGGGCTCGATTCCCTTAGCCATGGTCCAATGAGAAGGTCGCCTTCAATGCTGTGGTTTCGTCCCACTTGGACATCGGCGACTGGAAGAAGGCAGGGAGTGCCATCAAGCAGAATGATTGCCGAGAATTCTCGGGAGCTGAGGCTGCACAGTGGCTGAAGCGAATGGTCATCCGTAATCTGACGCCCGTGAGGATGCTGAGATACATGTTCTCATATCGCTGCAGCAAATGCTGTAATTCCTAGATCGTCTGCCTGGATTCGTCTTCCCAAGCAATGCAGGGTCCATGCAACAGAAGCAACCGCCGGGCGCCAGGACTCATTACAACGAGGTCATCGACCACTGTGTGCAAGAGGGAGAGTTGGACAAGGCGCTCCGTGCATCGACGAACGGCGGGACCATGACGCACATGGGCTCGGTGCAGGCCTATTCGTGGTTGACTTTGATGAAGGACTGGCAACGTTTGGTGATCGTGCTCGATTGACTGCACGCAATGACAAGGGCATTGAAGACCATAGCTGAGCTTTAACACACATCCCGCTTATGCTTGGCTTTCCGAGTGCTAGCAGCTCACACTGCATTTGCTTTGCTTAGCTTCTCAGTTTGGCAATGTCGGCGTGCGAGAGGCACGCAAGCCAAGAATGCGCGAAGCGATCGCGTCGGCCCGTGGCTCTGGCGATAGGCCTGCTGGCATTTGGATGCTTGGGGCCATCCTGGATGCTGTCCCCCGCGCTTCCACGGCCGTGCAGAGCCACGCATCTTACTATAGGTAGCTCGAACTTACCACCACCCAAGACGCCGAAGACGTCACGTGTGTCACTGCAAGCTTCTGAGAAGGAGCTTGACACCGATGCTGTGGGAAAGTACGCGTTGTCCATTGCGATCCAGCTACTTGGAATTACAACTTTCTTCGCGGCGATCGATTCCGCTGTGAAAGCCTCGGGTGTGGAGCTGCCTGACTGGGCTGTTTTTGCCTTGTTCTTCGGCATGAGCTTGCGCTCGCGCATCTTTTCGCCGCTGGACAACTCCCGGCCCGATATTCAGAAGGCAACGCAGGGACAAGCCACAGGAGGTTTCAACGACCGGACGATGCCAAGTTGGACACCTCCCGGTTTCTTTTTCCCGATAATGTGGATACTTATCGTGGCACCCCTTCGTGCGGCATCCTCAATGATGATTTGGCAACAAGTTGGACACCTTTGTGACGCAACCATCTTGGTTCTCATGCTTCACTTGTGTGTGGGCGACACTTGGAACACGGTGAACAACGTGGAGCGAAGACTAGGAGCTGCAGTGCCTGGCGTCCTCTGTGTCTGGGCTTCAGCGCTCGCTGCGAGCTACGCGTACTTTCAGGTGGATCCCTTTGCTGGGCAGCTACTGTTGCCGACTTGCTTGTGGCTGACAGTGGCAGCTGCTTTGGTAACGGACACCTGGCGGGTGAACAACACGTCTGGAGCAGAGCCACTGTTTCCGTATAGGGGCACAACCCAAACAAAGTTCTGGTTTTCTACAGACTGAAGTTTTTTACCCTTGAATGAAAAAGAGGCTTGCTTGTCCTTGTCTGGCTGTCTCTAATCGTGAATGTACGGGCAAATCTCCTGCAGGCCACTCCTCCGTCGTTGCCGGATCTGGTTTCGTACCATCACCTAATCAGTGGTGCTGCGGCGCTGGGAAAAGAGAAACAAGCGGCCTGCTGCTTAGTGGCCTTCTTCGGATTGTTGCCTCGACACGGCTTCACGGCTTGACCTTGAGGCAGACTGGTTTGGGCAGATGCGATGTGCGCGATTGACACCCGATCCAGTCATGTTCACTGATGTGATCCACGGCTTCGCAAGCCGGGTATCCCAGTTCTTGTTGTATGGATGCTCGCATGTTGGAGCCGAAGTGCTTGCAGGAAGCACAGCATATGAAGCCGCCACTGCATGGCTGCGACGCATGGCCCTGCGCTAAGGCTGCTTGTTGATTTTGCTTTGTGCACCTGGAGGCTGTTTGTACATAAGGCGAAAGAAACTGTGCATCCCACCGTCGCGTGCTACAACGCGCTCATCTCTGCATGTGCCAGGCCTCGCCTGCACCCAAATCTTTCAGAGGTGAGCGTATCTGGCCCAACAGGCAGCGAGACTTGCGACGTGCGGAGTGCCGCACTTACCTCCATTCATGAAGCGTTCATTGCTCTGTCTGGGTGGTTCCTGATTGAGGCACTGGTTTGAGCAGCTGCCGATCCAACGGCTGCAGCCGGGAACATATGTCGTACATTGTGAAAGCATGCACACAGTAGGCCTCACGTGCGGCGATTTTAGTGACATAGTGAGAGACTAAACCAGTAAAAACTCCGCATCATGGCTCGATCTTAAATCTGTGCAAGTGGGATGAAGCAGCTATCCTTGGGAGACTGGGTCGATTGGGGTGTTGCCCTCAAGCCCAGTCCTTCCTCCAGGTTTATCCAGACCGTGGGGAGCAGTGCCCGAGATGTTTCTGGGGACAGACCCAGCCTGCAATCCAAGGCCCGACGAGATCTCTTACAAAGCATTGATTCGCGGATGTTGCTTGCTGGATGAGACTCAGAAGTCTCTTGGAGGAATTATAAATGCTCGCGGATTAGTGCCAAATCCTGTTTCCATTGGCCATGCACTTCAACAGAGTCGCATGTTCCTTTACAACAGTGAAGTGCTCTGTCACCGGGAACTTTCGCCCTGGCACATTCAGGGCAATGCGGTGGTTGCAGAAGCTTCAGAACAGCAGATGCAGGCCGGGAAGTGGACGGTTTCGGTTGCCTGGCAATCCATGCCCAGCCGTGTTTTTCTCTCGACCTAGGCCTGATATGCCATTCTACATGGGGCTGCTGCCTGAGACACTCACTGCAATCAATGCTCCTGTCCTGCGCCAGATTCAGGATGATCGATGCCATAGATGCAAGAGGACGCAGCTCCCCGCCGGAGGCAGGGGCCCTCTTGCCCGGTTTTTGGGCCTCCCGGAGAGGCTGATCTCTTTTTCTGCTGTCGCTGATGTCCTCTGAAAAAGCAGCAAAGCTCAGCCCCGCCCCCACGCAATGGAAGCTCTCGTAGTTCTCCAGCTCAGGCTCAAGATGGAAACCACCCTGCCAAAGCAGCAGGCGAGTTGAATATGCAGCCTTTGCCGCATCGACAAGATCGTCGTGACATCGGAAAAGAAGAAGCACTCCACAGAACAATCTGATGACTTGTGTTGTCCAAAGTTACAAGGTGAGATCGAATAGATCGATATAAACTGACAGAGCAATAGACCGAGACTCGAGTGGAGTAAAATGATTGTTTCTGTGAGAAAGCTGTGAGCGGTATGTGAGAATTTGGAGAGGCCTGTGATGTGAGGATCTTGTGGGAAACCCGTGAGAAGCCTGGGAGAAATTCTTGGGGGTTGTAGAGGATCTGTGAGAAAGCTGGGAGACACCTGCAAACCGGGGTTTTAGGTCCGGCTGCTAGCTCCTTTCACCTCCTAACTTTCTCATAGGTTTCGCATAGCCCCAAGCCTAGGCTCCTGGAGATTAAGGCCGAGAGAAATTTACGAGAAATTTGCAAGTGGGGACGCCTTCTCTTATTGATTTCTCGTGCATTTCTGGTCTTTCTTATTTATTTATAAATGGGAAATCTTTCGTTCAATAAGATCTCGCCTTTCCTATTTATTTTCATAGATTTCTTATAAAATTTTTTCTTTATTATAGGCGGCTATATTAATTATTTCGTCGCTTATATAAAATGAAGAAAATTAGATTTAGATTCGTATCTATATGATTTCGATATTTCTGATATGATGAATCGAAATAAAATAATAATTTGATAATAAAGGGATCTTTGATTTTATTTTTATTTTCTTGCTTAAAATTGGTGCTCGGGTTGATAGATACGCTCTTTATATATACCTCTTTCTTCTCGTACGTCTGGAAACTTGTGCGAATATTTTCGTTCTCTCGGCCTCTACCTTTTCTAGCTACTTCTCGAATACTGTATTCTCGAACTGTATTTCGACTTGGTTCTCGCCCTTAGCGAAGCAACCCTCTGAGAGCTGATAATGTTCTCGAAATCTACGACTCTCTTCCTGCAGCCGTAGCTCCGCCTCCTTTTCGGTAGCATCAGACTCGACCTAGAAGCTTTTATTGTACATGTCGGAGCTGCTGCCATATCTCCGCCGCCGCGGACTCCATAATTGGGTTGCGGATTGCGAGCTCTTCGCATTTTTCCTTACACTTGACGCTCTCACTCTGCGCAGCTTGCAGCCCCTCTTGCGACTTTTGGAGCTCCGCTTCAAGGCGACGGCATAAGGAAATCTTTTCCGAGCTTCTGTCGCCTGCTTTTCATCTCCCGGCCGTCTGCCGCCTCGAACCGCTCCGCAAGCTCCTGGCAACGAACACGGATACGGGACTGGGACTGCTGCAGAAACCAACCCGCATGGCGATCGTGCTCCTCCGCCGAGTCATCCATCTCTCCTCGAAGTAGCTCCGATTCAGAGAAGTATCACTTGATCTTCCCGCCCTTGTCCCGCTCAGCCACCCCGTGCCGGAGCAGCGCCTCGCTGCGTTGATCCGACCTCGTCGCGCCTACCAGCGCCTTGGCAAAGCCCTCCCATTTCATGAGCCAGGCCTGCGCCTCTTCCGACCGTGAGTGGATCTGAAATGGAGTCTAGACTTCAGAAACCATTATAAAGCTTGTAATACGTACGATATATAGGATACTCGGATTCCCATTATATGAGCCAAATATTCGAAAATATCCTTTGGAATCCACCACGCCCCGCACTTGTAGATTTCAGACGATCCCAAAGGATCCCTAATAGACTTTATAATATATAATCGAAAATAAGACTTCCATAATAAGAATTACTATTATGATTTAGGAACGAAATTTGAAATCCTAAATCCTAAAGCCTGAAATCCTAAAATCCTAAACTCCTTAAACCTAAAACCCGAAATCCTAAAGCCCTAAACCTTCGAGGCACTGAGGGACTCTTGGGACCTGCCCATAGGTCCCGTAGTAGATCCTTTTTGCGACTTCTATATTCATGATTCGAATTTTCTGATAGAATAAATTGAAGGGATATGGATCGAAATAAGAATGAATTCTGAATTCTTATAGAATTTGACATATCTTTTTCATTTATTTCGTTATATGAATTAGATTATATATTCGTGAAAGTTCGAATAAAAATATTTTCTAATGAAATTGAAGAAATATAAAAAATATATTGAATATTTTTTAAATATAGATATTATATTTAATTTTCAGATTATGAGATATAAAAATATTGGGAAATTATATTATCTGAAGTCTGAGAGAGAATTCCAATATTATAATAACTATTATTTAGAATTTAAGAAAAGATATTTCTGAATTTGATAGAATAATTCAAATCATAATTCTTCTTACAGAATATATATTCTATATATATATATAT